GAAAGGGTCTGTTACCTCGGCTGGATGACTACGTCGTCTATCCAGTTTGATGAATTCATCTAACATCGGTCATCACCAGCTGAGGTATATTCTTGTCATGGTTTAATTTTTTCTTTCCTATATCGTTATACTTATACTTTTTCTGTTCATACACACGTGCAAGGAAGGGAACAAATTAGACAGAAGAACCAACTGTGCTGTCCTCATTTTGATGTAATATTCTGTACGATCTTAAGAATGAACCAAACATCAAGTGGAAATATCAGAATTTATACTGTATTTTAATTTATAAGTTTTTGCTTAAAAGTGTTTTTTATTAGAATCATAACAGGTTAGCGACAAATGTCTTAAGGTTCTTTTTCTTAATTTTGTACTTCAACTCAACGAATTATCGAGATGATCAGGATGCAATTCTCTATTAAATGATCATATTTAAAGTGAAAATAAAATTGTGCTCGGCGTTCGAATTTGCAGCGCATCATATTTGTACGCAAAGTACTGGTGTTAATATTGCATTTGATGGTGGAACAATATACCATGTATCAGACCAATATAAACTATTAATTTTATCAGTATAATTTGACCATTTGAATGCGGCTACTTCTAAAGTATATAGAATTATGACGGTAAAACCTTGTGATAAACTTGCTGTCGATCAATCATTTGACATTTATTCCACCTTTGGTAAATATAGCAATAAATGTAATTTATTTCTAAGTTTATATGGTTTTTTAACCATTGATGTATATTGATCAAAACAGGTGGTAATGAAGCCAGAGTCTCTCGTACACGAGTAAAAAAAACCATAGCTTCTTTTTCACCGTCTTTTTCGGTAGTCAAATGACCGGTAGTAGAAAAGTGTTTCCCAATCGTCGATTTGCAAGATAATCTGATTTAAATTTATATTTACTTTTGATAGAGCAAAGTGGATTAGCTGTTTCAACTGGTATACGTCGTTATAAGTTTTTTTGTGACTGGGGAAGTTTACCTGTTTTCAAGCGAGTGGTAATACCTTACCGTTAGACCCGTTGCAGAGTGTTGTTGTTGGTAATAGTCGTGTTATTAGAATCAGTTTTTCCACTTATTGTTTTGGGCTATAGTTGGCTACAGACTTTTCTATAATCTTTTGTTGATCAATCAGGTGTTCCTCAATACGTTTGCAGAAATGCTGACAGGTTTTTTCCGATATGAGAGACATTGCGGAAAACGCGAGTGATTTTATAAATGATTCCAGATTCTAGTGCAGCTGATACTTTATCTTTTGTACCGTAACCTTCTCCAAGCTTGGCAAGGTGATAGACGGTCGCTACTTCTGTCAAAGGATAACTACTTCGTATGGCGATAGATTTCCCGTCGACTGCAATTGCTTTACTGTAGAACGGGACTTTCACAATAACTCGCTCTTCTACTTTTGTATACTTGAGCCGTCGCGGTGCAAGCAGGCATGGGCGAATCCTGAGTCCACTTCTTAGAATACCAATAGAAGTAGGATGAAGAATAGAAATGGAATGAACAATAGTATAGTAGAATTGAGAATAGAAGCAGAATGAATAATAAATATTTACATTTGTTTAAGTGCAAATATCCATAAATAGAAGAAGAATGTGATGCAATCATCCACGAACCGTCTGCAGAATAGCACACCATTTATCTGCAATCTCCGTTTCAGTTTTTCTTCTAAGTAACTGATGACACAGACATCTGCGAACAGAGTACCCAGATGGCTTCCCATCGCTACACCTACCACTTGACAATAGATTTTGTTGATAAATATGAAATGTGATTCTTTTGTGACAATTTCAAGTAAAGATTGCATTTCTTTTCTGCTTTTACAACTGTCACATAAGTTAGCGTTATTTTCTTGACTGAATAAGCAGGTGTGAGGTTCCCCATACATTCTTAGTTAAATTTTTGTATTGTAATACTAAAGTTTACTCTTTTCCATTCAAAACTGCTGTTGTCGAAATAAAATCAAAATCAAAATCAATCAATACATCATTTCTAGAACCAGTTCAGTTTTTCTATTCAATGGTACTCATGTAAATAAGGGCACTATATCAAATCGAAGCATTTCGATATCGTTTGGATCTAACTGTAAAGTATGAAGTTCATTCACAAATTCAAACTGTCTTTGATAATGGTGCGAGTGTTTCTTGAATGATTCAGTTTTTTAGCTAATAATTTCGAAAGCCTGTAACTGAATGTATTAACGGCTGAAATAATAGGACGTAAAGAAACACCGTTCTTATGTATTTTGGGAAGACCATACGCTTTTCCCGGTTGTGAACCAACTGAACGAGCATAGTAGTAATCCTCTTTTCTAAGAAAATTATATTTCTTTAAGTCCAACAGTTTTCGTTGTAACGCTTTAAACTATCAACTGCATGTCGTCATTAAACACGTTTGGGCTTTTTTGCCTAACTAATATGACGCAGTGTTCCACGAAGACTGACAATATTTCTGTGATAGCTGCTCTTCTACAACATTGACATATTCCTTTTGAGCTATTTTGCCCACAAAATACACATATTCCATTCATTTTGTAGAGTATATACTTTGGATATTATATGTTTTCTAGAGCATTTCCCACGGATGTTGCGTTTTTTAGAATAACTCCAGTTTTTTTTTGACGGGCACCGACTTTTCCGCCAAGAAACTCGGTTTTTCCGTCGGGACACGGGTTTAGGAACCCAGTTTCTTTTGACAAAACTGGAATTTGCTCACAAGAACTTGAGATTATGCAACGAAGTTTCAGGTTTTCCGAGTCGAAAAGACTTGAAAACATTAAATACAAATTATAGCTTCCTTTCAAGTGTCGTAAAAACGTTTCGTTTTTCCGCTCCTTTGTGACTCTTAAAGAACTTATTAGCAAGTAGTAAAGCAATACGACAATTCTTCCGTTAACACTTGCTTAACCTTTATCCATCTTTGAAAACTAAGTGAGGAGAATTTGCTCTGTTTTGCGGCCGAATGCTGTTGTACATTGTTACACACCTTCACCTTGTCTGATGTCTGATACCTCCGAATTTTTAATAAGACGTCGTACATGCATAAGTCTTGTCAAAGAAATACAATTTTCAAGTCAAATAAACTCGATATCAAAATAGAAGAGCATGTAACGTATAAGAACAGTCTATAGGATTTGATGTGATAGACACGGATAAGAACATGTTCGAAGAACAATTCTACTGTATTTTTCATCACAGTTAACACGTTGTCTGTCTGTTCTTCTTAGTATACTTCTTTTCCTTCGTCATCACGCTACGTATCTCGTTGTAAGTTAAAATTTTGCTGCTTTACCCTCAACATACCGGCTAAAATTTCTACAAGAGGTCATACGTCAAAAGGTACTGATGCACTTAATGATTCTCAAATAAATATTGGACAATTAGTTCGAGAAGTACTTCAGTCTGATGTAATATTAAAAGGTATTTCACCAATCGTTAAGAAAGCTATTGCTCCATTTGAAAAAAGAGTTGATGAATTGAAAATTCAACTAAATAAATTACAAATTGCTTTTGATGATCTGTCAACCTATAATAGAAGAACAAATCTTCGGTTTTATGGTATTGCAGAAAGTATTGGAGAAGATACAAATCAGTTAATAATCGATACATGCGCCAAAATTGATATTACTATTAATAGTGAAGATATTAGTATTACCCATCGTATTGGTAAAGTAAACAATTCCATGGGTCAACGTCCACGTGCTATTATTGTGCGCTTCGTGCGTTATTGTACACGTCAAATGATGCTTCGGAATAAGAAAAAACTAGAACGTGGTACTTCTATCAATGAAGATTTAACGAAGTCTAATTTATCAATTTTCAAATACGCACGCTCGATATGTGTAGAAAAAAAGTGTATTTATACGTCAAATGGTAAAGTTATGTATAATGATGGTAAAAAACGTCTCGAGTTATTTTCAGTTCAACATGCTAACGGTTTAATTGATGATGGAAGGGATTAAGAGCAATGATCACACAAAATAAGCTAACTAGACTTACTTTTCCTTCTTATATTTGTAGCTTTGAGCTGACAATGAACATTTGGGCTTTTCTTGTAAATTCCATAACTTTGCAAAGAAATGTCATGTAGAGCTGGGCAATGTCTCATTTTGATCAGAATTTCGCGTGCTACAATTTAAAAAAATTAATTAAAAATAAAAAAAATTTGACTTATTAAGAAAAGTTTTGGAGAGTTTTTGGAGTTTCTGGAAAAATGGTTTCCCAGAAATCCAGTCTTTGGAGGCCTAGCGGCCCAAACTATTATCATATTCGAATTCAGCACATTTTTTTACCTATCACCCACTAGCTTAGAGCTAAAAAGCGAGGTGGCAGTTGGTGACCTTCCCTCGTTAGTTTTATTTCTTTTTCTTTTTTTCTGACTGAGGAGGGTAAAAGTAGAGAGAATAAGTCGAACTGGAATAGTCATTCGCCTTGTTCTTGTGACGTTTTGTTCCGTGATGCTGGTTAATAGTAAGAATACTGTACATCAAGCTGATGATATGAGAGTTCTCTTCCTCAATTGTAATAGCATTCTGGCAAAAGTTGAAGGTATGTCCTCTCGATGTCTTAAAACTGATCTGTTGTTTTCCTGTGTGTGTGTAAGAAAGCCTATTGTAGTAGCTGTGACTGAAACCTGGCCTCGTATTTTTGACCCTGATATCGCCCTTAATTTAGTTGGATATACTCTTATTCGTAAAGATCGGTCCTCCAAAGGAGAAGGACTCTTGCTCTATATCCGTAAAGATATTAAATTTAAAAGACATACGCATTTGGAAGATGCTGGATTTGAAACCTGTTTCTTAAGCTTATATTTACCGTCATCGAAATCTTGTTTCTTGGCCGTTTGCTACCGATCACAGGATCTTGCATCTATGCCTTTGTTTGTGGAACATTTGAGTGAAACCCTGCAAAAAATTAGAATGAACACAGGTATAAAGGATGATTCTGTTATATTAATCCGTGATTTTAATGGTCACTCAGCTAAATGGTGCCCGACGAAACCGTCAACACCTGAGGGCAACCAGCTATTTGACTTTTCTGTAAAGGAGGGATTCTCCCAGTTAGTATCAAAACCCACCAGACCTAAGTCTAATTCCTGTTTAGATCTGATATTTACCAATAATCTCAGCTCAGTTACTAATGTCAACGTTTTGTCTCCTCCTCCTACTACCTGCGATCACTGTATGGTCGAATTTTCACTTCTTCGGATAAAACAAATGCCTTTTTCTTACAAACGTCACATATACGACTATAAGCATAGCAACTGGGATGGCTTTCGACTAGCACTTTCAAAAACGAATTGGCGCTCTATTATCGATCATCAGATAACATGTACAGATAAAATTGAGGAGTTTCAAAATAAATTCTTAGAAGTTGCTAATTCTTGTCTAAAAAGCAAATGGATTACCGTATCGTCGCGTGACCAGCTATGGTTCACAGACAAGCTTCGTCACCTTCATAGTATGAAACAGAGTTGCTATAAGCGCTACCTGCACACTAAGTCTGATGGAGATAAGAGTGCTTATAAGAGATGCAGTGATCGATTGGAAAAAGGATGTACTCATGCCAAAGAGAAATACTATGAACGACTGGCTTCAACAAAAAATTCGTCGAAAGCATGGTGGTCCCTTTTAAAATTCTCCTTAGGCAAAACAAAACAGTCGAGTATTCCGCCTTTGTTTGACCCGTCATCTAATAAAGTAGTAACTTCACCATTTGATCGAGCGCAAGTATTAAACAGACATTTCTCCAATACATGTGCAGCTGATGCTTCATTTATTTCTCCTTCTGATAATTCCCTTCCACAATCAACAGTTGTTATGTCAGACTTCCTGATAAATGTGACTGAAGTATATGAGATTTTGTTACATCTGAATGTTAATAAAGCCACCGCCCCCGGTATTTCAAATCGAATGTTGAGAGAATCAGCTGAAATAATCAGTCCTATTGTCACTTTTTTATTCAACGAGTCTTTGCTAAGAGGGAATTTCCGTCTATTTGGCAATTAGGGTATGTCCAGGCTCTCTTCAAAAGCGGTGATTCTCAAAGCTGCCACAATTATCGACCAATTACCCTTTTTCCTGCCCTATCCAGAGTCCTTGAACGTGTTATTTACAGACACATTTTTGGGTTTCTAAGAACAAATAACTTGATAAGTAAAAATCGTCGGGCTTTATTCCTAATGACTCATCCGTAAATCAACTTATAGCCATAGTTGATTACATTGCTAATAGTTTTAATGAGCAGATACCGGTTTTAGGAATCTTCTTAGACTTTGCTAAGGTTTTAGATAAAGGTAGAACATGAAGGTCTACTTATCAAGCTTCGCAGTAAGGCCCTTTCCGATTCCGTGCTTGACTGGTTTCGTAGTTATTTATCTGACAGGCGGATAGTTACGGTCGTGGATGGAGCGACATCGGATCCGCTCCTTGTTACTTGTGGGGTACCTCAAGGCAGTTGCCTCGGTCCGTTACTGTTTCTAATCTACATTGATGACCTGCCACGTCTACTTCAGCCCTTCTCCAAACTGTTTGCAGATAATATCTCGCTGTACCTTAAGGCAGATGATTTGACTACAGCTGCGTCAGTTTTGAATCAAGACTTGGAAAAAATACGCCAGTGGTCGAAGAAATGGACGTTGCCTCTAAATGTTAATAAGTGTGTTTGATGCTATTCACTTGTGGAAGCATCCCGAGCCATTTATCTCCTTTGTTCATTGGTAACATTGTACTAGAGTATGTTGAGAAGCATGTCCATTTGGGATTAACATTGACTATTACTTTGGAATGGAGATCGCACATAAATAGCCTTTATATCAGTTTGTCACATATAGTTGGATCGATGAAGTTTTTGAGTAGGCGGGTTTCTTGACAAACTCTTGACTCTGTGTATCATGCCTTCGTGTTGAGTATTCTCAACTATGGAATCGTTATTTATGGTGGTACTGATTTATGCAATATCAATTGTCTGAACCAAATTCAATATCAGGCAGCTTTAGCTGTCTCTGGGGCTATGAGGGGTACATCACATGTGAAACTTCTTAAAGACTTAGGGTGGTTATCAATTAATGAGCTTACTTACGCTCGACGCATGTGTTTGTTTCATAAAATCATGCATAGTAAAACTGCTACTTATCTTATGGAACTTTTTCCTATGCCAAGACCCCAGGTTTATCAAACTCGAAGTTTCAGTCGAGAAGACATCTCCTTGAACTTAAGAGGTCGGGTATTGTTGGAGAAATCCTTTATTCGGGATGGTATTCGTGCATGGAATCTTCTACCTAACGATGTACGTTCAATACATAAATTGACTGATTTTAAACTCAGATTAGTCTTGCAATATATTTCGTCCTTTCGTTTACCGTTAATGCGTGATCGGCGGTTGGAGATACATCATACGCGATGTAAAGTTGATAACCCCCAACTAAATGACTATTACTTTACTAGAGGTAGATTAGAAAAGTCACCGGCGTGTGCATGTGGCTTTAATAGAGAGACTACTAAGCATTTTTTCATGGACTGTGCTATTTACGATAAGTCTCGTAATTTTATGTTTGAGCAGCTGCGTATTGTTCTTAATGATAACCACATTACGTTGAAGCACATACTTTTGAAACATGAATCTATCCGAGCACTGACTAAGCAGGACCTGATAGGAGTGTATACAATCATCCTCCGATTTATTGATACTACTGGAAGATTTAATCAGTCATGATGTACTAAACCTTTATGAGCAGGACGTCACATGGATACGGCGGATCTCAAAATTCGATTCCCAATTCTCTCTCTCTCTTCACCAACACTAGTATAATCTCTCTTCTCTATATACTCATTTTGTTCCAGCATGTTCATCTAGAATCCAGCATACAATTGGATATCCCAAATTGCCGAATAAGTGTTTTTCTCTGGTAGTTGTACTTTTATTTTTATTTTACCATTATTTCATGAATAAAAGGAAAACTGTATAAAAAAAAAAAGAACATGTTCGTCTATTGCTGGAGAAGTAACAAATAAAAGTCATGGTTTTTCCTCTTATTGGCACCTTAATCACGGGAGATTATTCTTTTTCTTTCAAGACGAAATGTCTTCGGCGTTTACAGCTTAGTTAAATCCTTTGAAAACTTCATACTCTGCTATTTTTGTCTTCTCAAAGATAAAAATGTTTTCAAGGTAACTCTTGAAAAATCACTATGAACAGCGTTTGTATTTCTTTTCTCTAAAATACATTTAGTTTTAATATTCGTAACCGACTCATCAAGTAAAGCACAAAAATATGTGTGTTTTTAGCAAACAGTAAAATATTGATCGGATTTTGAACCATCGAAGACATAAAATTAAGCGTCTTACCCTTTCGTATATTCAAATCTTCTTCAATTGTTTGATGTTATAGTACGTAATGTGAGATTAAAATAATATTTTTAGAAAATGTTCGTTAAAACGACTCGACGCCAGCTCTTGCAGGTGAAAGCGGCAGAGAGTAAGGATTGCAATGTGTCAGTGCAAGAAAAGATTTTTTCTAATAGTTCGTCGGAGAAGATATCGTTAAAGTACGGTGTAACACTCGTCATGATGCTCAGTTTCAGTACTGTGTAACGGTTAACATCTCTGTTCCTTCTAATTCAACTGAAACATAGCTAAGCCTGTAGGTAAGTGTGTATCAATGAAGTGAAAACAATACAATGATAGTTAGTGTAGGAATGAAAAAAGAAGCAGTGGTTATCACATTGTCTCAACTCAATATAGAAACACGACAGAAAAAAAAATTATATGCCGACCTTTTCTGTGTTCTGAATGAGGATAGAAAGGAAGAGAAATATAAGAAGAGTACCAATCAAAATAACGAATAGATCGTCAAAACTAAGAATGAGTCAGAGAAAAGAGAGTAAATAGCTTCTCTGCTAAATCACCGCGACTCACAGAAAAGGTCAGTTTTAGAAGACAGTATCAACAGACGAAAATGTTGTGTTTTGTCCAGAAACAACGCTTTTTTTTAATTTTAACAAAACTGTGTTACACGCGATGTTCACTTGTTAAAACACTCTAAAGGCGAGACTCCTGGTTCAGTTCAAAACGCTGAATGAGAATATTGTTTAACCAGAGAATAAAAAGTTAATTGATATTTAATTGCGCACTCACCTTAGTGTTACACTTCCAGATGACAGAGCTCGATGATGTGATAGGCTCCCTAAGTAGTCTAGCATTATCGTAGTGGCAAACGTTGAAAGCAGTTTTTTTCCTGTCATTTTATGCTCTTTCTTTTCTTTGTAACTACTGAATTCTTTGATATCTCTCAGTTCTGGCAGCCACTCGCTTTTGTCCTACTGAAGTTTATTAACATTACAGGCTCTAGGTTAAAATTCTTCATTACATTCTACGAATGACTCATATAAACTTCGAAAAATTAAGTTCTCTCTTGCTCTCTCTCTGTCCCTTGATACATCTAAAATCTTCTTTTTGCAAATAGATCATTATGTCTTTGATTGTATCTTACGTTTTCAAAACATGCATCTTCAAATACTTTAATGTCACCATCTTCTAGTTCAGACCGATTATTTCTTGCTTGTAAATCATTGAAACCATGTTTACCCTTTTTACAGCCGCCAGTTTGCGCACCTGTTTGAAGTATAGCACCACAACAAATATATTTCATACGTGTTTTACGCTGTTCCATTTCCTCTTTTGCCATTTTTTGATTTAAAACTAGAAATTCGTCGCGATTTAATGCTTCTAAAGCGTCACTAGGACGATATTTTGTCAAATGTAAATTTGAATTGTCATAAATGAATCCGTCATGATATGTACACTGCCCCATTTTATTTTCGCTTTCAATATAGTAATCGCGACATTTTACGCATGCTAATGTTTCTGTTGCTTTTCTATGTTCTTCTTCTTCATCTTCTTGCTGTGCATCTGTTAGAGTAAACCCAATCTCATTCGTAAACTTTTTCAAGAGAAACGGATCTCGTACAATTGCTATTGCCCAACGCTCAGTTCTTAAATTTGTGTCTGTGTTACTATTCTCAATTTTAGCTTCTCCGAAACGAGTTGTAACATAGAGATAGATACGTTGATTGACAACAGATGTACTCTCAGATATACCCGTTGAACTGTCGGATTCAGATCTGTTGACACCGATAAGTGAATCAAGATCGTACACGATCATTGAACGACGATAAGAAACTGATTCATCGTAGCATTCTTTTAGTATTTCCGATACTTTTTGTTCATCATTAGCACCTTTCGATGAGAGCAGGTTTAAGTCGATCAATTGTAAAAGTTGCACGTTTCTATCTGTTCCATATGTTGTTACACGTTCAAGTAGCTGTTGTAAACTTTGCTCTGTATCACGAAAGTCTTCTTGAATCATATATTTTCGATTGGTATCAATATTTATAGCTTCAATCCGTACACAACGATCATGTAGATTAATTATAATTTTGCCGGTGAATATTACATTTTTCGGTAGATGCAATGCATCCAAATTATTAACTTCATCTTTCTGATTTGTAATAGTAGTGGCCACTCTTGAATTTTGCAGCTGTTTTCTATCATATAAATTGCGCAACTGCAGTCGTGGTAGAGTATCGAGACCCATTTTTAACTGAAAATTAATAGCTGTTGTATCTGCTAGAATCAATGCCAATTCTTCTGTTATTTCATAGTTTGGATTTAGACGCCTTTTACAGCGATGCTCCGTTGTAATTTCACTAACAAGACGACTGGAAAAGAAAGTTACGAAGTTAGAACTTTTCTATGTAAAGTTCGTTCATCTTAAACTTACGATAAAGCTGAGCCACTAAAATTTGTTGTAGCAACCACTAGCACTTCCAAAACTTTTGGTGATAGTATTGTTTTTGGAATTTTACTTAAAATCTTCTTTCTTGATTCTGATGAAGGGCGGCCGACAAAAAATTTTCCAGTCATACGACGTAGAAATGCTTCATCCATTCGATGTAACAAATTTGTTGCTGAGAATAACATTAGATTCGGAATATTTTCAGCACCTTCAAGTACACTTAGAAGGACACTGATTTTTGACACTTTTCCTTCTGAAGATTTTTCATCACGTCTCGGAGCTAGTGAGTCAACTTCATCAATCGAAAGACAACAGATTAAATGTGGGAGACGATTTGCACGTCTGCATAGACTTGATATAAGCGCTTCGGACTGACCGACATATGAACGTTCGAGGTTACCGGCAGCTAATGCTGGTGCTAACATTGCAATCCCAATTTTTTTCGATAATTTACTCATTAAATATGATTTTCCAGTACCTAAGTTTACCAGAATTGAATGATAGGATTTTTATTCCAAGTTATCGCTCACAGTTCCACGAACGACAGCGTTAGTGCCATAAAGGACACACCATTCTACTCAGATTTTTAAGCTCTTTCTCGTAGTGCTAAAAAAGTTGGATTTCCCTGAATTTTCAGGCTTTTTTGGAAAAACATGATTTTTCAAAAACTGCTCTTTTCTAGAAAGCTCGTTTTAGTGTCATTAAAAAGAGCATTGAAAACTGATTATACCCAGAAAGTTTCTTATTGCTTCAAGCTTTATCTTAGAAGCCAGAGGCACTTTAATTTTTGGGAAAGCCATTTTTTGGCTATTTGTATGCTGATTTTCAAATTTTTGACTAACGTTTTGTGAAGGCTCTTGGGCACAGGTTCTGAAAGCGGTAATCGCCTCAAGTAAGTTGATGTGCGTTTCAAACTATCTGAACGCTGGTCTGAATTGGAGATAAACGGACATTTCTTTCTCATTTTGACTAGTTCTTGAAAAACCGTATTCTTCTCAGTCAAGATCTGTGTTTTTAAAGCGAATTTAAAGGTGATTTTCGTGATCAGCGTTCAGTTCTGCGTCTGATGGTGTGTCTTTGAACCATTTAGAGGGAAAAGGTTTTTTCGAAAAAAATGAAAAAGTGAGTTTTTCGAAAAATAAAGCAGCCTATCTTTTTCAGAATTTTACGCTGATTCAGAATATGTATAATTTGTCTTGATTCGTTAAAAGAAAATTTTTGACCTTATCCACCTCCCTCCTTTCAAAAGCTAATGTCCTGCGGATCGAAACTAAAGCGAAATTTTTTCCTGTGGGCTTCGTTCCAGATAAGCTTTTTTTCTGGTATTTTATTCTGAAGTTGAAAAAGTTGGTTTTGTTGCTGTGTCAAAGAGATACGGTCGTTCACCCAGCGAAGCGCTGAGGCCACACAACCAAGAAAGAGAGTTTCGACATGTCGAGACTTCGGCACTTTTTGTGCAGCGCGACCACTCGCCCTCCCTTCCTCCCCTCATGATAGTACGGAATGATTTAGCTGCTCTTCGAAACTATTATCTCATCTACTGTACTAAAATTCGACTGATTCATAAAAGATCAATAATAACTCTTTTTGCTTACCTGGTGGTCCGTACATGATGAAACCTCTATGTAGCTGAATTAACTTTCTACTAATTGCTGTTTGAGATGTTTTCAGATTTTTAATAACTGTACGAAGTAAATTCTCTGTTTCAGTACTTGTTGATTCAATCTTTTTCATGTCTTGTTCAACTGTTAAAATTTGTTGTTTATAAAAATCAATTTCTTTTTTCCACTGTTTCTCTTTATCTTGCCACTGTAAATTTAATTTTGTTCTTGTATCGTACGATAAAGTCTTCTGTTGCATATCTTTCTCGTACTCTGCCTTTTCTTGAGCAGCCGATTGCTTCGTTTCGGCAATAAGTTTATACCAATCATGTACTTGATTGTATAATTCGCTGAAACGCTCATTTGCTTTATTAATGGCCTGTTCCAATTTTTTTTGCTGTTCTACCTGTCCTCTATTAGCTTTCTCTATTTCTGCATCGGATATTTTTAATTCATCATCGCTAATAGTTAAAGGCTGAAAGAACAATTTCATGCTATCAAAGAGGCCGTCATCTTCGTAGCCTTCTTTACGCATCTCTTCAAATGCTCCTTCAACACATTCATGTTCCAACTGCGGAATATCTCTGATTCCTTTGACATGTTCTAGTTGACGAGTAATATACAGTTTAATCATATGCAGTTTTGCCAATAATTCACAACGAGTAAGTTCAGGTTCTAGAAGGGGAAAATGTGAGAAAATATCTATGTGTTTAAGTACACAAACTGCAATTCAGAATAGTTTACAGTGTACTGTCATTTCTAAAACCTAAAAATCTGGTAAAAAAAAGTAGCGAAGAAAGTTTAAATATTCCTTTTCTATGTTTTCAAACGGAGGGGGTCCACTACACATTAGCTCGTCAACAGCAAAGTGCTGAAAGGTAGTGGCCCTTTGCTCTCACTAACAGTCGGATCAGCCCTTGGTTGACCCTCCAAAAAACTTTTTGTCAGCTCCAAGGTATGACCTTTAGCTCATCATTGTTTCCTCTATCACAGCAGAATTAATGAGAAAAAATTCACTTACCTTTACTCTCATCTTCATTTGTCTTTTTCCTTCGTACTGCACCCAGCTGCTTTTCTTGATCCACATAGAATCTGATGGTTTTCAATGTATTTACTGTCAATGACTTAATACCATCCCATTCTTTTTCAGTCAGGTTACTTAGATGTGAATAGGTTGTTATCTGTTCTTTAAAAAACAATGATTCATACCAATTTGTATACATATTATTATCTTCTATCGCACAAATATCAAGAATAAATGCGTCAAGAGACTTGCTACTTGGACGTCTAATTTGTGTCGTTGAAAATGATGATGAAGTTTCATCGCTAATGATTCTATAGTTAATTACAGCGTCACTTCCTAACTGCCATCGATTTGGAAATGGTTGATTATTTGGTTGATCAAGTGTCAACCAAAAGTCAAACAGTTGTTCAAAATTATCGTATGTCCAGGTAGAAAACTCATCAGTGAGGCTAACTGGTTCAACAAGTCGAAATTTAGTACGTTCACCTGGACACGTTATAAGATTTCTATCTGCAAGCTGTTGTCGAACAAAAAGATCTAATATTGTTCCTTTTGGTGAAACACGTATGTGAGTACCGGTACGAGGACGACTTCCGGATTGCCTGAAACGACAGGTAATCTTATTTACTTGAATCAGTAAGAGATAGGTACTTCGTTGGTAAAATGTAAAGTATTAAGAGGGAATGCATCACATCGTTTCGAAGTGAGGTACACCTTTTAGACGCCTGGAACAAACGTTATTTTGCAGAAACCCTTCGCTCTATAAGATAGGCTATTGCTCAAATTATAGAAGTTATATATTTCGTCCATATTTGGTACAATAAATGTCAGATTGACAGATCATTTTTTAAGTTTTTTGCATTTTTCTCTTCCAGAGCTTGATCAAAACTCAAAAAACTAACTTAATATTCGAAATCACCGTCAAAAATTAAACCTGGAAACGTATCATTTATTGGTCTTTGACGCAAAATATAAATTTTAACTTTTGGATGCCGTCGATCAGGTCATTCGAATTTCTTTAAATTTTGAGCACTACGACTTTAACTTGACCTTCTTTCAAGTATGGACTCACAGGTTTTCGACCATGCTCTTTCTGATAGCACCGTCAGAAAATGTGATCTGCGTTTGCATAGAGCAATTCCTATTTTACCATAGGGTTTTTAGGTAATCTTAATCATAGATAGTGTCTGGGTCGAATGTCAAAGTTTCCATCGAAGAGAGAACAGTCAAAAACCCATGAGTCAACTCTTAAAGGAAGGATATTCCATAGGTATAGCACTCAAAATTCAAGAAAAATCGGATGACATGGCCGAAGGCTTCCAATTCCAACAACAAATATTTTTTAACTTCGCTTCGAAAATTTCGCTAGACACGTGTTTTGATAGAATTATGTGTGGTCTTTCCAATAAGACATCGCTTTAAAAGATTGAACGTAAAATGATGGAATAATTAGCAAATTATCAAAAAGTTCGATTTTTTTCCGGTTTTCTCGACATGTTCAACTTTGAATGTATCCAGACCCTTCGTCCAAACTCACTAAAAAATCTTTTCTTGGCTCAGTATCAGTTGTGGAATCCAAATATGCAATAAAGAAGTCAAATTGTTTCATATCTTGGCTTTTCTCGCTGTGGTGGTGCATTTCCTCTTAAACTTCAGTTACAAGAAGCTATATTTTGGGACAAGAAAAGTCGAAGCGAAAACATCCGAAGGGTTAGAAAATGAAAGTCGTCAAAAACAGTCTTTAGAAACCTTTTTGCAAATTTAATGGTGATTCTTGTGCACATCCCACTTTTCGAAAAAAGCTTGGAAACATGCGATTTTTTTCGAGTATACTTTCTATACAAAATGGTATGCTTGGATCTCAACTGGAAAGCATTGGCTAGAAAAGTTATCTGCAACAAATATGTAGAAATGAGTATAATGGAAAAATATTTTTGATCGAAGAACTTTATTTCTCGTAGCCAAGCTAAGCTTTTTCATTTTTAGGTTATTTGGCTTCCGAGAAGTAAGAGGAGACAGCTTTTTTCCAGTTAGTTCTATGAACCAGTTTCCATTTTGTACCATAACTTAGCTAACAGAACTTGTTGACGATATACATTCGCAAATTAAATCGAGTCCTCATCAATTTTTTTCTATAGATTCAGTACAAAGTCCTGTGTCTTAGGTGCAAATGCGGTCAAAATCTGAGAAGCACCTAAACAATATATACACCATGTTCTCAGAAACTTACTTCTAATTTATATTCTTACTTTGAATTGCTGACAAGTTCAATGAAATCATTCTTTTCGTCAACCTGCATTTTAGTATGATTTCAGCTGCAAACGGATCGGTTAGGTTTCCCTTTGTTCTGCCGCGTTCTTAGCTGCTTGCGGCAGTTCTCGGTTGTGATGCCAGTTAATCCAGTACTTGCGCAAGCCTAGCTAGATATATATAAGGTTTTTCATTTTAATGACTTACGTGTTTCCTTGTGGCAGTTGCTGTTGTACTTGTTGAAATAAGAATTTCTCGATAAAATCATCAACTTCTGGTCGATTTAGGTTTTTGTAGATTAGACATGTGATTTGATCAATTTTCTCAGGCAGATCATCATCTTTCAGCTTCACTGGTTCCGCCGAACGCTGAGTGTTTGTTGGTGACTGTTTAATGGAAGGGAAAACAGAAGCAGTACTATGCGTGACTGTATGGGTAGTAGTGAGAGGCGGAGAAGGAGCAGTAGTGGGTGTTTCAGATGGTAATGTGGATTCAATAGCTTTGAATTTTTCTCTTAATTCATCTATTGCGTCTGGCTCTGTCTTTTCTCGTATGCAAATATCAACAAATTCCATATTCGTTTCATCTTCTAGAATGTTTAACTCTGCAGCCAGTTTTTTCAACGTTAGTTTCTTCAATTGATTTTCAGTAAATTCTTTATTGTCTTTTGGATAGATTTCATTGTATCTCGCACGAATATATTTTAAACGTTGTTCATTCAATGTAAATCGAAAATCTTCATCTCTTTTCATCGACAAATAATTTAACATAGATAAACTCATTTTCGACGGTTAATTCTTATCTACAAACAATAAGTTATTAGTCCTCCATTAGGTGGTTCCCCAACAAAAAGCGCGGAATATAATTTTTCTCGTTGAGCTTGGCCAAAACTTAAGTTTCAGTCCAATGGAGAAAGCAGCGATTCAATATTTCGTAGCTCTTATAGTCAGGCCTTCGTGCTTAAAAAGAGAAGTACGAAACCCTTCTACCTGATACTGTTGGTAACAGAATTATTCATACGGTCGTATAGGTTCGTCTTAGCACCTATTTTTTTAAGCAGTGAAAAGGGCTAGCAGTCTCGGATTTACTCCAGTGAACAAAAGTCATTCTAAGCTGCATATGGCTAGAAAGGCAGGCTCATGCTGCATAATCTTCGATGTTTTTGGCAGAGTTTCCGAAAAAACTCCCGTTTTTCGTGAATCAAAATTACTCATACTATAAATATTTTCTTTTACTGCTCAATCACTTCTTTCCTTAAAATAACAATGACGATATATTTTGATAGGAAAAAGTGTCCTCTATCCGA